ACAAACATATACTTCATTTAGAATATACTCTATATTTTATTTAAACTTTTTGTTTATATATACTGTTATATATATAGATTTCAACCTATCAAAAACTAGATACATTAAAATATATGGTTTTTGCTAGATTGAAATCAATATATAATGTAAGTAATATACAAATAAAACTTTTAAGTAAAACATTGAGTATGTTCTAAATGAAGTATATGTTTGAGTCTAAGACTTAACTTCAAAACATTTAAATAAAACGTTAATAGTTATCGATAAAATGTAACTAAATAAAGTTAAAAAGTTAAGAGTCTAAAATGTAACTAAGTTAAGTTAAAATTATTTAACTTTTCAACTTTTTAACTTAACTTTTAGCTTTTTAACTTGGCACTACCCAACCCTGATATTAATAGTATCATGATATTATGTTAATTATATTAGTAATACTTTTTAGCTGAATTTCTTGGACGGTTCACCTTTTATCTTTTTTTCTCTAACGTGGAGAAAAAAGGGAGAACAAAGTTCAGCTAAAAACAGGCCTATAGACAAATCTCTTGAAATTTTATTCCGTATTTGTCGCCATTCAGTAGTTTACATCTTATGTTCACGATGATAGAAATCGTTCCGAGATTTCAGATGGAGAAGGAATTAACAAATCACAACTCGGCCAATACGATATACAAAGCTTTAAACAGATAAGCTACTGAAAGAGTTCGAATCAAACTACTTATTTTTCAGTATGGCTATAAATATTAGATGCATTATTTACAACAAATTGAAATCTCGACAACCATTTCAAACAATCCTATATAAATAGGAATAAAGAATAAGAAACATTTTTTTTAATTAAGTACGACAGCTAAAGTAAAAAAGCTAGAGAAATTCGAGATTTGCTATCGAAGTATTTTTTTCTCAGGACCATGTTTTAATTAAAAATCGAAGTTGGTGAATAGGATCCTTAAACGAGATGATAGCTTCGTTTAAGCATCGATATTCTATATATATTAATAAAGATTCATGTAAAATATTGTATAGTTTTCATAGAAATTCAACATTCCCTAGATATCAGTTTTTCATAAAATAAGATATTGTAATCCTAAAAACTCTGATAAATTGTAGAAAGGGAGAGAAATTGCTTATATTAATTTTATACAAGATACTCTTGGAACCATGACATTTTTATAACAGAATTACTTTATTTAATCCATGATACGTGAATACATTTTAAGGTTTACTAAATATTTTATTCTAACACTTATTTATCTGACTTGCAGGCAGTTACATAATAGTTGAATCTTCGAAATAATTATGCGCTTTGCATATAGTATATTAATCGATAATTTGATTCATGATTTTATATTTTTTCAAAAAAATATAAGCTACAATTAATATTGTACAAGTACGATCATATGATAGAATTCGCTTGTAATTGTTATCAAATTAATGATAGATATAAAACTGACTTATTAAATATCTTACAATACGTATTTCTTTTGTAAGAACGGGATTTTACCATAATTAGCAGAATTGTATTTGAATAACGACTCGCACAAAAATAATAGAGTAAGAAATTATAAAGATCTTCCACGAGACGATTGCACGTAATTAAGATCGTAAATCGAAAGCCGATCATGTATTATAAGTATATTAGATATTAGCGCATGACTTGCAAAAAAGTAATACCTCATATTTTTTACATTATACATTCATGTATCAATATTAATTATAAATCTTGATGCATGTATGTAACAACAGATGTTGTGTCTATAGAGCAATACATCATAGATTTAACGATTAAATCATGAAAGTCAATTTAAAACTTTTGCGATAGATCTCCACAAGACATACTCTTTAGAATTTATACATTTTCGTTCGAAAAGAGTGTATCTTCCAAAAAAATATATTATATATTAATTTAAAAAATTTAAATAATTTACGAGCGTAAACGATATCATTTCTACAAAAATCAGTACAATAGAAGATATGTATATAATAAATGATTATTAATTTATAGTATATTATATAGGAGCAACGTTGTTCGTGAACGAAGGAATTTTAGTTTTACTTGTTTCACTTTTAAAATATGCTTATTTTGGAAAAATAGAAATATTTAAGTGTAAGAGAGACTCTGTCTCATCGCCAACTTTACTTTAAGTCCATATTATTCCGCTTGATGGCGTTCCGTGCGCCGTCACTAGTGCTCATGGCGCCACTTCTAGTGAGAAGGAGCGTGATTGGCTATCGGCCATTACAGCGACCCTGATTGGTCGCTTGAGATATTTTTGAAAGAGAAGAGAAAGGTAGGCGACGAGTGTGACTCGACGATTATGGTGTGTGTGTAGTTGTTAGAAAGATCAACGAGTAATCGCGATCAATAAAACGTGTTATTCACTGCTATCCTGAGATCAATCCTTTGCTCTCCCTATCCGGCTTAAGCCTAGCTTATCCTTTTCCTGACATAACTCTATGGCCCGAGAGTTCCTTATTCTTCATTGCCTCTCGCGGATTGTGAACGACGCTTTCCTATCCCCAAGGATGTACATCATCTACAAAGATTTCTCGGATTAGTTAACTATTTTCGTCGTTTTGTTAATAATATCGCTCTTACGGCTAAACCTTTACATTCGTTACTTAAAAAGTCCTCTACTTTCAACTTAAGCCTTACATAAGGAAAAACGCGTTATAATTATATACACATTTATAAAAAGAAAATGTCATCAGTATCGAATCCGAAAAAATTCTGACTAAATTTGACTAGCAGACTTCGATCTATATACATTTGTCGTCTCATTTATCTTAAAATACCTATTGTAGATCCGGGGTAAAGGATTCGGGGAAAATCAGGATTGCTTGAGGATTGGATATAAGAACACTTTATTGCCTGAGAAGTACAAGCCTCTCTCTCTCTCTCTCGAGGCTAAAGCGGGGAGCACAGACTCTTGCATAAGTCTGGATCTACAATAGGTGTTTTAAGCCTTAAGCCGTAAGAAATTGACCAATTACAGTCGAATCCGAGAAGAATAAGCGACTGTGATTCGCCCATTTCTTATGGCTTAAGGTTTGAAACCCTATTGTAGATCCGGACTAACGCATAACACATGAGGCATAAGAAATTGAATCAACCAGAGTTCTCTATTACATGGAAGGGAAAGAAACGGAGAACTTCGATTGGTATATATTCTTATGCATTATGTGTTATGCGTTATGCAAGAGTCTGTGCTACCCGCTTAATGGCCGCAACACACTCTTGCACAACGCATAATACATAGGCCCATATTCAGAACGCGCTTACAACGATATTAGCACGCTAACATACCATACTTTACGTCACGCATATTATAGAATTTCAGAGATAAAAGTGCGCTTTTATCGATAAACCCATGGTTGTAAATTTGTTACGCATTTATCACGACGAGAATGCCTACTGTGGTATAGAAAAGACATATCAAGGTTTATTTGTAAACTATTGGTTTCCCTCCATGAGGAAAAGAATTCAACAGTATATTGAAAATTGTTTTACATGAACTCTAAAGCGGGGAGCACAGACTCTTGCATAACGCATAACACATAATGCGTAAGAATATGTACCACTCGAAGTTCTCCGTTTCTTTCCCTTCCATGTAATAGA